ACCGCATCCTGAAATCTAGACCATTAAGCATGACCGTTCAGCCATGGATTGAAAGCAATGGAAAGGTCTCCTGAAAGAGATGTGTCAAATACAAAGAAATAACGGGCACTGAAAATACACGAATATCCTCGCAGGTATTTTTGGAATGTCGTTTCTCAATAAACGCCAAGGTTATAAATTCTTCACTTAATTTCAATGCAGCATGATTTTAGGCGTGACGGCAGAATCTTTCATTTTATTCCGACGTTTTGGCTTGTTATCACAATTTCAGGGATCCGGTGGAATAAAGTAAAGAAATACCTTAGGTCACACCTAAAACTATTTGCGGTGAAAGAAAGCGATAAGATTCAATACCGGGTTTTGCATGAAGGATCATCCACAAAAAATTTTATACTCTACTCCGAGGGAAACCTGCTTAACTCGTAGTTCAGCATGTGTTTAATTTAAAGAAGTATACAAAATAAACTGAACACTGTTGCTCAGTTTCTGAAAACCCTACCTCAGGGTAAAGAAATTAAAATAAAACATGCAAACACTGTCCCCAACTATCACAGTATTAATCGGCAAACAGCTAAAAAGTTAAGATGGAAAAACAGAGAGATGAATACAGGGATAAAAAATAGGCAGTGCGAAAGTAGCGAACAAAATGACCGTTGAACAATAAGTGTACAGCAACGACAACAGTTTACTAGTATTTATACGCACCGAAACAAAAACAACAAAAGGATTGTTGCGAAGAATAAATATGCAACATTTACACAAATCCTGAAAGCAATATAACTCACGGTACACGCACAGGCGGCGTGATCAATAAATCAAAACAACGACTGCGCCGCGGCAACGCGCGGATTCCATATCATTATCGTCGTTACGATCAGTGCGATTATTTAGGCATACTGTACTCTTCACTATTTGATTGGCTGTTTTGTGCACGACGTACGATAATGCACCACAGTTAGTCTCGGACAATTCGGTCTGCTGCTTTCTCGCGCATCCCAACGAAAGCCGACAAAGCGCCATACGCTTCTGCAAGTCGCCGCCCCGGACGTAAATGACTGAACGAACGAATGAACGCTGCTCTGCTGCTACCGTCGCACAAGGATCTGCCTTCACAACAACGACTACCGTAAAGGTGACGGCGGCCAACCAAATTCATGAAATCTTCGCCCATTTCAGGAAACTCTGAACCGTTCGTACGGGCACATTTTCAGCCGACGCCTTTATTCGAAGATTTCTATCACCGGTTAGCAAAACTACATTGCGATGTAAAAGCAAAGGCTCGTCTGAAAAGGTAAAAAATCATTCTTTACGCAAACAGAAACAGTATAAACTTTCCCTATCTGTTAAAGACTTAAATATTCCAACGGTCTGAAAGGATTTGGAAGTTACTAACAGACGGTCACACAGGAAACGCAGAGCCAGATTCCATCTTATAGAGTGAAAGTTAACAACAGCCTGGGCTCAACTGCTCGATATCTATCTCCCAGCGCGATCATATGTGCATCTGAAAAGCATTTAAACCGACTTTCCGTTGTCACTGAAAAATTTTAAGACGCCATGCAACAACTACAGAATTCTACCAGTTTCAACAGTAGAAGTTGCTTCACAGGTTGAATTCTTGTCGATGTATTAGATAGATTTAATTACATCTATCTTCCTGCTTGAGAAATTTTTTCACGGTGTATTACGGTCATTTAGTCTCATAATTTATGAAGTTTTTCTTCAACGCATGTTCCACAACAACTGAGTTCCTTCAGCATTTTCACTTTATCAACGGAGGATTTCTTCTTTGACTGCGCCCCTCTACTTATTGCACGTGCCGATCAACGCTGAATCATCTTGTTAGGTTGCTGGTGTTCTTAGCCCTAGTTTTTAACTAACTATTACTGATATCAAACGATGGCATCCCACTAGCGAGGATAAAGCTGTGGGACGGTCATTTGGGCCGACAGCAGTTGATACTGCCGAAGCGGAGAAAACATTCTTTCCTTTCTGTAGTGCAGTTGCAACGATTGACATACTGTCATGTCATGTAGCTTCGACATCGCTCCTTAGAGATACAAGGAATAAGATGCGAAACCTAAGATAATACATATATAACAAATAGCACAAAACTCTTAAGGTGAAGAATTGTGAACTTGTAATTCTGAACTTGAATCCTACATAAAAGATTTAACTTTTACAGAGTGCCTCCATAGTAAGGAACAGCGTTCTGTTTCTTGCTAGTATTTAAAGGAATATTCACAAAATACTCATTTTTTGCAAAGGCTATTAGATTTTCGTTCCGACTGGTCCTTACTTAGTCACACTTCCACAAAATTCACAACAGGCCTCAGACGACTTATTTCAAATCTTCCAAATCCAAATTCAATAGCTGCCTTTCAGATTCTACCTATCTAGTGCATGATCTATTTCATATGCGACCACATTTTATCTTCTAAAATAAATTTTCATGGACGATGACCGAAAGGCAGACTTTAAAAGACATGACTCCGTTACATACAGGGCAAAAACATGGTCTCATTTTGGATCCAGCGATTGGAGCATGTAACTGGTGAATGACAAAAGCACTGAAAAACCCTTCTTAAGTAGCTCTTTCCACGACTTGAAAGGGACTATGTAAAATGAACGCAGTGAAAATCGGGATAAAATAGTATGAATGCAAGAAGAATGAGTTCGATTTCTTTAGTATATCTTGAGCAACTTAGAATTCATTAGACAGTAAAGGATCCAATGGATCCTTCACTATGATTACATACTTTCACCGAAAACATTTTGGAATATTTTGATTTCCCTTCAGTCTATTCTGAGTACGGCATTAATATGCGGTTCTTCAAATATTGCTAACAATGTAGGTTGAGACCTGTTAGGATCATTTATCTGACTCTGCTTTTCATGATACAGTGAAAAAATTAATGCATTATATCTACCTATATTCTAATGTCTAAGCAACAGTGCATTCAAATACATTTGAAAAGAAAATGACCCTAAAATTTACTATTTTTACCTTTCAAGTTTCTGATTTCCGTCTTCTTTTCATCGTCACAAAAAGTGAGGCAACACTTTAGAATTTTGTCGTCGTTACAATCCTTAAAAATTTTCAGATCAAGTCTCATGAGGAAACGTCTTTCGACGTTACCTTAGAAAGAATCATTTCGTGAGAGTTTCGAAAGTTATCCAGCAGATTCCCTTGGCTCGTAATCGCCTTCAGAAACTTGGTTCCTTTATCAGATGCATCATACAGGTAGTTCAGAGACGCTCGAGAGTTTGACGCCACCGTTTCGTCTTCCTGGCTTCGACATAATCCGTCTAATTCGCTGAGAACTAGGGAAAATGAGTAATTATACTGTAGAAAAGATGTCTAGTTGCTTTGTTCTTACCGACTAACGGAATGACGACAACGAATTTTTTTGCTTCTATCAACTTTTTAATTAAAGCCAGATGATAGATAAATGCATTGGTATCGAGAACGACGTAAGAAGGACAAATCTCTAGTTCAATCTGGCACTTTTCTGATTCGAGAACTGCCTAGAAATGCAAAAAGAGTAAATTGTAACAAAAAAAATAAAAAAGATTTTCAACTGTCGAAGTTCTCGCCTAACTGCCTATAAAGATACTTAAAAATACATAAGGTGATGAAATCTTAAACGCATCTTGAGGTGCGCTACTGGAATATTAACCTTTTTACAAAAATGTGCATCATTAGGCAAGTCTCACTACTCATGCAAGAGTCACAAGCTTTACGCAATAGTCATAAGAAAAACAAATCAAATAAACTATAACATGAACTCATGAAAATTTTGTTACCTGCTTTGCCTCTGAACTTCGTTGATACATGCGCAGAAGCCGTGCATCGTCAGATAAAGGAACGTCATTAACCAAGTCGCTGACTCTGATCTTTTCTCCATCTTGAGAATCATCTTCCTCCTTGACATTCAAAAACTGGTGAAAAAATATTGTTAATTAGCTTTCCATACGTCTGAAGCAGCTAATCGAGGCAGAGGCGGTCCTGGGCTAGAAGATCGTGGCAATGCGACAAATTTACGATCTTCGTCGGCATATCGGAATACAAATGACTCCCGTCCATCCAAATAATAAGCAAGAACAAGAATACTCTCCAAACGAAGGTAATCTGCTCCACGGTCCTTCATGGAAGTATATTCGTTTTAATCAACAAGAGATAATAACATAAAATTCATACTAGTTCCATGTCTTTGTCCACGAAACGAGTGACAGGCATTGACTCGAAAACGTCGAAAAATGCGCTACAGTAAAAGTCTTCTGGCAAAACGATTTCGTCATTGCCTTAAATTCAGTCACGCAATATAATAAAACATGACCTGCACAATTAAGAAGTATGAACACCGACTAAAAATAGTTATTTCTAACATCATAACAACTACACCCCATTCAACTGTACTAACAGCAAATGGGACGTAGTCCTATTGAAAAAGAGCGAAAAGTACCGTAGACTATATTGCTTAAAGTGTAGAATCTTTCGTTCCAGATCTGTGATTCGATTTGTACTCATTACGGGATCACCACGAATCAAATCGAAGCCCTTCAAACATTCTCTATTTTTCGCTTTCCACGTCCACTGTTGGACCAATCAATTTGACAATCAGACCATTCCAGAGTGTTCATGGAAGACTGACTCGGAGGCGGTGGTGTAACGGAACTTAGATTGTAATTACTGAAGTCCACCAGATGTCTGCTAGGTCAGACACACTACCGACCCATCTAGCTTTCTACAAAAATTAACAATTCTCCAAAACTATGTGAAATCAGCACAGGAATAAAATAGCATGGAGCTCTTTTCGAAAATCAACAATGTTTTTATTCGGTTGTCGTGCTTGAAATGGAAATTTGTCAATCATATGTGCTACCAGTACCAACGTGCTAACCTGTGGGTGCGTAATGTAGACCCTAAGCTTTGAGGTTATTCGCAAACTATAGAATAAGTAACGCAGCATGAAAAATCTACAAGAAATAACAAGAAAATATAATATAAAGTAAGAACACAAACAACAGCCTGCATTGTCACTGCCCAAGTGAAGAAATCAAAAAAGCAGTTCGCTGGACGCCGTTTCAAGAACCTAAAGTCGCCGAGCCAGATTAACTGGATTCCAAGAGAGAGTCAACGTTCCGCAGGAAGACCTCCAGATCGATGGTAAGATCAGTTCATCAAGTGTTCGCTGGCTCAAGATGGACGAAAATGGCAGATAACAAAAGATTA